GACCTGGAAGAGGGTTCGAACCGTACTTACACGGGCCCATGAGGTTTGACCGGTGTCGGGGAATCAGCCGGCGCCGTCAAATTGATTGGGGACTAAAAGATGCCCATTAAAAGAAATAGAAGGGGATCGTCCACCGTGGCGCATCCTATTTCCCCCTTCTCAGGGAAGACTTGAACGGGGGGGGTGAGCTAAGGCCTTCCCGGGATGGTAGAAATCAAAGGGCCATTAAAAGACTTAATCACCCGGAAGAGGGGGCCCTGGAAGAAGGGTGCATTTGAACCTTGGAGAGGGTTCGAAACCATTCGAACATGGTTAATTCTCCAGTATTCTTACCGGTTAAGGATACTTCAAGAAATTACTAGGTTACAGGTGTTCCATCTACAACCTACCGGTCATTTAAAAAAAAAAAGAAATACCCCGGTTGGGTATCGATACAGTGGAACTTCGAAAGTTCCACAAGGAGAAGCAGTTCACCGGTCAAACCGAGGAGAAGGATCTACCGGTCAAACTGCACTTTATCTCCAAAACGAAAACGAAGGCATCCAAAATTCAGAATGAAGTGTGACCGGTCAGACTTTTGCAAGTTCACCATCAAAGTTGAAGCTCAACAAGTCGAAGCTGGAGTTTGACCGGTCAAGCCTATTCCAGTTGATCTTCAACTTAAAGACATCTGAAAACAATAGTTGGAGTTAAACCGATTGGAGCCTATCAAGAAGCAAAGAAGAATCGAAGCTCAACCGGTCAAAGTTTTTGCGAAGGCATTTTAAGAAGCAAAAGCAAAGTATCGATCAAGGAGCAAGCAGATATGGAAAAATAACCGGTACGAAAAACGAACATGGCATTCAACAGAACAAGAAAGTTAATTGTTTACAAATACACCGGGCATTCCAGGGGAAATTTCAAGTTTCTAAGTTTACAAAAGATGACCGGGCGCAGCCGGGGAGAATTCATTGCAAGGGAAAGGGGGGTGCAGGCTCATCATCCGGGATGGGGGCAAGGCCATAGGCTTCAGCAGAAAAGGCCGGGTCGCGTTCAGACAGGACCGCATGTGTAGCCTCCCGGTCTCTTTTCTGCCCGGACATGAAACCGTAGGAGCCGATCTGCGTGATCATCTCTTTCCCCTGCTCCTCCCGGTAGATGAACTTGAAGGCTTCCATCGTCATTTCCGGAGTAGAAGTGATCACCCGGGCCGTTCCTCTAAGTTCTCCCCCACCCACTGCTTGGCTCTGCCGGGGAACTCTCGCTCCTTCAGCTCCAGGTCCTCCATCAACTTCAAGTTTTCCTCCTTCAGCCGGAGGGTCTCTGCCTTGGCCCCCTCGGCAATCGCCGAAAAGTGGGACACCTCGTCAAGTTGCCGGGCTATCAGATCCTGAAGCTCCCGGTTGTGGGTTTCAACCCTCTTCAGCTTCTCCTCCAGCTGAAGTGACCGGGAGGAAGAGTCCAATGCAAGATTTTCCAAGGTCTCCGGGGTGACCTCGCCCATCTGCGAAATGGAGAGTAAACCGTTAGACAAATAAGCGAACAGGCTGTGAAAATAACATACCGGGAGGACGTTACCTCTCTTAGCTTAAGGGTCACCTTGACCCACAGCTCCTCCATTGATTCTTTAACCGGGGAATGCTCTCCCCTTCTCTTCTTGGAGGATGGATGGGCGGTGGCCACATGCTTCACCCGCTTCTTTCCCTTCCCCTTGTTGGGAGAAGGGTTCACCGGTGCTTTCCCTGACTGATCGGCCCCCCCGGTCTGGGGAGTTTCCTCCTCGTCATGGATCTCGACAATTTCAGGTTGGCCCAGTCCGGTGTTGGTGGCAGCAGAGGAAGAGCCACTGGTGGTCTTCGGCATGTTATAGGCCCTGAAGTTCATGTCTACAAAACAGGCAAGAGACTTGTGAGTATTCAAAATCTGACCGGTGGGATTGAACAAAAAGAAGAAGAAAAATGAAAGATACCTGGGTGGCTTGGGCCCCCGGCCTCAGCAGTGTTGCCCGGGGAGGGTACCCCGTGCCCTGCTGCCTCATGGGCCTGAGGGGTACCCCTGCCACCCGGTTGGATCCTCCAGATCCAGGCCCCGTAGTGGAACATCTGCCCGGTGAAGGGGTCCCCCTGAAGAAGCTTCTCCAAACTCTCCTCCAAGTCAGGAGCTGTGGCCGGCTCGGTATACTGTGACTTCAGGATATGGTCGTTCCACCTTATCCCGGCCAGGGGGGAGACGTCGGGAAATTTTATGAAAACAAATCTCTCCTTCCACTGCCGGTTGCTTTGTGGAAGGTCGGAGATAAATTGACGACCGGTGCGACCTCTGAAGTAAACGTAGCCATCACAACCCGACTTACCGGGAAGGACTTCGAACAGATAAAGGAACAAACGAAGAGAAGGGTCGATTTTGAGCTCAACGCAAATGTTTACGAAGGCATTAAGGAAACGATGTGCATTGGGCGTAATCTGCCCGGGAAGGATCTTGAAACAATGACATAACTCCACTAAGAGAGGACGGAGGGGGAAGACGGTGCCACTCTCCAGAGAAACAATGTGGAAACCTACTCTATCGACCCGGTGGGGCTCGATGATATTGAGCCAGTTGGGATCATACTCAAGAACGTATCCCGCCGGGAGATTCCTACGGGCTTTATTCTGAGCAATCTTAGAAACCCGGGGAGGAATGTCTAAGGGGTAACTAGAATGGAGAGGAGAATAACCGGCCGCTTCTAGCCGGTCCTCCCATTCCTCGTACGACTCGTTTTCAGGGTCATAGGGAGCCGGTTCGTCCTCCACCGGTGCATCCCTCTCCTGAAAAATCTGACCGGGCATCTGATTTACTGGCCGCGGGTCTGGAACATTGGGGTTGGGAATCGACCGGGGACCACGAGCTGGTGAGGATGACCCGGTCGATGAAGAAGTGGACGGGGATTCCTCAGATGCGTGGGCACCTGAGGCGGAAATGTCTTGACTATCGGGAGAAGACATTAACCGGAGAAAGAAATAGAGACTGAAGAAAAACTAATAAGGGAAGGAAGAAAGCTTACTTGACTCGGAGGGCTAGGAAGCGAGGAAGAGGAGCTTGACCGGTGAAACTCGGAGACGCGCGAAGAAGAAGTGAGGAAGGCAAGGGGGTTGAAGGCCTTTATATAGGCGAGGAGAGGGGAGAAGGAGACGACGTGGCCTCACCAGGACACGCCGCGTCAGGCGGCGGCATCATTGCACCTGGGAAGGCGAAGCGACACGCGACTGACCACGTTCAGTCTTTGGCACGTGTCATAACTGACACTTCAAATTTTGAATTCAAAAATTTTGAGCGGGAAAAGCCAAGATTCGAATTTAAAAGTACTGTTTCAGATTTTTTACTTCCCGCTTATGAAAAAATTGCATAACCGAGAAGTGGAGGGCTTATTGATGGGTGTATTTCACCCAAAACCGGTCAAGGATCCGAATCCGAAAGTTGACCGGTCAAAGAAATCAAACTTGAAAGGGAGATCTGAGTCGTCAGCAAAGGGATGGCTGGTTGACCAGAAAGTTGACCGGTACACTTCGGGTTAGTACACCGGTCAAACTACTCCATCGCCTAAATCCATCCTCCGAAGTTAGCCAAACCAGCCCTCAAAGATCGCCCGGTCTAGTTTCCGAAGATCGGAGAGTGTCGGCAGAAGGGATCCAAAAGGATTTGGACTATAGTGGTTGGAATTGCAGAGATGCTGAAGGCATCTTTCCAAGCCAGAACACGACAAGGGCGCAACCCCCCTCGCAAGATGACAAGGCAGCCCAGAACCAATCAGGTCACACCACGCCAGCTGCATGCCCCCACGTGGGCGCACGTGGTCCTGCCCCCCCTAGCTAGTATATATACCATTTGTAACCCTCGAAGAAGGGGATCCGAATTCATTCTCTCTTAACTCCCTTGTAAAAGTGACCGTGTATTCTCTGTTATAATATAGCTTGGGCTACAGGTGTTCCACCTAAAGTCCTACCGGTTAATCTGAGTGTTTTTACTTTCCTTACTTTACGAAATCAAGCCAACTATTCTAGACCCGGTCTAGTATAATTTGACCGATCAAGTAATTTACACTATCAAGGTTCATCATTTTTTAAATCTAAGAAGTAATAAAGTGACAGATATTTGTGAGACCTCTTACAAAACTACTCGTAATAAGCTTAACTACTTAAGTGCCACCTTTGGTGCATACTATATATTTTTGTGGAACTTCTCACATAAAAAAAATCTTTTTTTAAAACTTTTTTATATTAAAATACAAATGCTTATTTAAGTAGTAAAGAAATGCTCATTTTGCTCATATGTACATCCATGGTAGACTTTAAGTAATTTACCTAATTTCTTTATTTCCACTAAATGTTTCCATACTTTGGCTAAAAATAACACTTCATCTTTTATAGTAGAGTTTTATTAGCCAAGAAATTACTGTTATGCATGCACGTCGTGTAGTGTGTTAGAATATATTTTCTCTGTCTCAGAATAATAATCTCATTTTGTTTACAAATTCTCTAAAAAGTTTCATTCTCTAAAAATGGTTTTATTTACAAATTAATACGGAAATAAAAAGTATAATTTACATTTTACATACGATGTATTTCAAAATTACATAAAACTTATAAAACAAAAAAATATTTTTTTAATTAAATAATCAATGACATAAATTTACAAAATGTTAAAATAGTCATTGAGAGAATTATTTTGAGAGGGAGGAAGTAAAAATTTTCCTACACCTACAACTTTAAGTTTTGGAAGGGATAGGTTCGTTGATAATTCAGTCCATTGTTTTTATTATAAACCACCTCATTATTATCCTTATCTAAAAGACTAAAAATCGAGCTCCCTCAATCCCTCTTTCTGATCAAAAACCTTTTCCGTACGCTTTTGTTTTTTAATAATTTCAAATACATTTTACATTAACATATTTTTTATAACGAATATGTGGTTCACAATATTTATATTTTTACTCCGTACTTTTAAATATTTTTTTTAAAATTACGTCAATTCAAATTGTACAATATTTTTGGGATGGAGTTGAAGTATCATACTCCCTCCGTTCCAAAAAGATTTACACCTTTCAAAAAAATTGCCTCACACAATCTCCTACCCATTTCTATTAAAAAATTACTTTTACCCCTTACTTTTTCAAACCCTACCTATCACATCATACCTTTTTCCTAATAATCTACACATCACATCCTACTTTTACCCCATCACATCAAGGGTATTTTTGGAAAGTCAACACAAAATTATCTTTCCCTTAATTTCAACTTTAGTCAAAATGTGTAAATCTTTTTGGGACGGAGGGAGTATCATATTTGAACGTAGTTATGAGGTCTATATTTTCCCGAGTTATTGGCTCTATTATGATGTACTCTCTCCGTTCCAAAAAATTATTCATGTTTCATTTTTTGAACATCTCTTAAAATATTTCTACCCACATCTAGAATGCATAAAGTTTATTATATTTCTCCTTTATTTTGGTAGAAGTTATTTTGAAAGTTTTTTGGCATTTGAGGCGAGATAGAAGTGTTCTATAAGATCCCAAAAAATAAAATAAGAATAGAAATCACCCTAAATAGGACTAAAACATAAAAAAAATATCAAAATAGGACTTTCATGTTTTTTTCCGAAATAGGAATTTGCACTGTGGTAATGTGGCATTGCGCATGTGCACATTACTATATTTTTTTGGTAATGTACATGACCATGTTTGGTAATGTAAGTCCTATTTCGAGAATAAAAATATGAAAAATTCTATTTTGGTATATTTTCATTGCTTTAGTCATACTTTGGTTTTTTTCCCAAACAAGAACATCTTATTGGAACAAAGACAGTACGTAGTAGCAGTTCTTACAGTATTTATTCTTATCTCAAATGAGACTTTGCCATAAGATACAGACAGTTGCTTTAAGTTAAACAACTCAATAGGCACCCACCATTAATGATACTCTAGGATTGATATCATTGGTATTGTAGAGCAAATAAATTTCTCACTAATAATGATTGTATGTGCTAAAAATAATTTATGCGATTAACTTTACTGTCAAAGGTGAATTTCTAACATATTAAAAATTGAGTAATTTACGCAAATGAAATTTCAACATATCACTTATTTTTTCCTGAATAGGACCATTCATATCTAATACGGAGTATAACGTTTGCAATGAAAAATTTTAAAATGTCATGCTTTTGAAAAAAATGACTTATTACACAATTCAAGTACAATAAAACATTATTAAAAACAATTTGAATAGTTATTGAAATAATCACTCGTTTTCCAACTTTTGTTGTTAATGACCATATTCGTAAGATCATTTCTATAATCAGTCATTATCCAACATTTATTGCTAATGAGGGCATATATGGAAGATCATACTCCCTCCGTCCCAAATTATTTGCCACATTTGTATTCCCGAGGCAAAATATCAAGTTTTTTCAATTCATTTTATTTACATATTGGTAAAGAAATAAAAAATAAAATTTACATATAAAAAATTTACATAAAAAGTTCTTCGAAATAAGAGGTGTCAAGAATATTTTATTTTATCTAATAATCAATGAAAACGTCGAAATAAACAAAAGTTCCCGACACTGCTGAAAAAGCAAATGTTGTGAATATTTAGGGACAGAGGTAGTATGAAATTATGTGTCGTAAAAAAAAATAAAACATATTTGATCATATTTAGAGAACCATACTATTTTTAGTTCTATATAGAGCACCCAATTTTTTTCTTAAAAACTTTAGAGTAAATTCTATAATTGGTCCTTTATAACAGGGGGATTTCCCTATTTAGTCTTCTATTATCAAATATTACCCAAGTGGTTCTTCTTTTATGAGTATTTTTCCACAAATAGTCCTTTTTTTGATTTTCTATCATGTTGGTGTTAATTTGAGGGCTAAAAGTGTAATTTCACAATGATAATATATCTTTTTTGTCATACACAATTCCAAAGGCTGTTCCGTTTGCGTCGTTTGTGAATTACAGTCGCTTTTTACGACAACTATAGTCTACAAATGTGATCTTTCATCAGAATCCTAGCCCATAATCGTAGTCATTATTTTTGTGTTATCCGCTTAGCCAATATCAGAACACGTCACTAGACATAATGTTGACGTCAAATTATAGTTTTAGCCTTTAAATTAACACAAACACGACAGAAGATAAAAAAAGGACCATTTGTGGAATGGTACCCTTAAAAAAGGACTACGAGGGTAATATTTGATAATAGATGACTAAATATGGAAACCCCCTGTTATAAAGGATTAATTATGGAATTTACTCAAAACTTTATTTAGTTACGCTTTTTGAAAAGTGAAACGGAACATTTGGAAATGAATTGCTAACCACAATTCCTAACCACAAAATTGTATCTACGTACGTACGTACACTTCTTAAATTGAGAAGTGAGACAAAACATTAGGAAATGAATTGAGAGACTATAAATGAATTAAAAACAAATGAACTAAAACTAATATGAGACATAATCATAAAAAAGTAAATTGTATTTTTCAAATTATATTACTTTTTGAAAAAAGAATTGTGACAATATTTTCCAGCACGCAAGGCAAATTATTGCACGGACTTAAGGTCCATTGTGCACCTTCATATATGCTAAATAAGAATTTTCTAAGTATTGAAAAATGCATTTTAAAATAAAAAAAAAATTAATCTCCCTGGATAAGAGTAAGAACTTATGAGAATACCAAAATAGGAGTTTTAATTCTTTTAAAACTAAAATGTTCTCGTTTCTTTACGGCCACATTGTTTCCATTGTCACATGGACCTTTTCGCAATTGTTTCCACAATGTTCTCATTTTTTTACGGACATACCCTAAATCAGTGTGTCTATGAAAATGCAAGAATATGTGTGAGATGATAGAATTTAAAATGAGATAGGGATCACTAGATTAAGTGAAAAAAAAAGTTGGATTGACCTATATTAAAGAATTGAATTCAATCGAATATTTATTTCAACTCAAAAATTTATATGATGATAAT